CACTTGTCTTCTGGTCATTTCCACAAGACATAGCCACTTGCTTAACCTCACTTACTTCCCAGAGCCTGTGACTGAGCTAAAGTGATTCACTTAGCACTAACTGGGAGAATGAAGAGATAGGTTGATCACAATTTTAAGCAATATGGGTGAGGAAGGTGGGGCTTAGCTTTCGTGCGTTAAGTACAAACTGACTTCCCTTCCAGTGATAAGGTAGTTAAGGCACCACAGGTTAATATTTGCCAACACTACTCTGAGCAGAGATCTGAGTGCCTTTTGAGGAATTCACTTGTGAAAAGAGTAACTTGATCAAAAGTCAGTGTCCACCTGCCCTTTGTATGGTTAGCCACACATGCAGTAGTTTAGGATCTACAAAGTTCTGTTTACTAAACCCTGTGTCATGAGGGGTGTGATGGTACAAAATCCACAGGGATAGTAACTAGGACATCTCACCTCACATGCCCAAGGTGATTTGGGTACCTTATCCATGAAACAGAAGTAATGATTTTTGCCTACTTCCTAAGAGTGTTGAGAGGTTCAAAGGAGATAAGAGATGACACAGTCCTTTGATAACTGGAAAACATGTATAAATAATTAGATATTACATCAAGAGTTCTTTTCTGCTCACTATAATAAATAAAAATGATCCATGTACTTTGTGTGTTTAAGTATGCAGTTATTACTCTGCTCTTTTTCTAAAATCTCTACCACTATCTCATCTCTACATACATGCAAACTCTTACAAGCTAATGATAACTCTTTTCCTGGAATAACTTTTCTACATATAAGCTAGGCACCAGTAGCCCATGCCTGAAATCCTAGCTATTTAGGAGGCTCAGATCTAAGGATTGCAATTCAAAAACAGCCCATGCAGGAAATTCCCTGAAACACTTATTTCCAATTAAGCACCAAAAAAGCCAGAAGTGGAGCTGTGGTATTATTGATAGAGAACTAGCCTTGAGCCAACAAAGTTCAAGGACAGAATCCAGGCCCTGAGTTCAAGCCCCAGAACCAGAGCGCACCTGTGCACATGCAAGCACACGTGCGTGTGCGCACACACACACACACACACACACACACACACACACACACACACAGAGCACAGATTCTAGATACAGCTTCCATGGTTTAAAAGTGTTATTTCAAAAATGATGCTCAAGAGAGGCATCGGTGCCTCACACCTATAATCCTAGCTACTCCAGAGGCTGAGATCTAAGGATTGCAGTTCAAAGCCAGCCCAGGCAGAAAAGTTTTGGGGTCTTGGGGGGTGGTAGTTTTTTATTTGTTGTTTGGGGGTTTTTTGCCAGTCCTGGGACTTGAACTCGGGTCCTGGGCTCTGTCCTTGAGCTTCTTTTGCTCAAGGAGAGCACTCTACCACTTGAGTCACAACATCTTTCTGGCTTCTTTGAGTAGTTTATTGGAGATGAGTCTCATGGACTTTCTTGCCTGAGCTGGCTTCAAACCATGATCCTCAGATCTCAGTCTCCTTAGTAGCTAAGATTACAGGCATGAGCCAACGGAGCCTGGGTGCCATGAAACTCTTATCTTCAATTAACCACTCAAAAAACAGAAATAGTGCTGTGGCTCAACTTGTAGAGCACTAGCTTTGAACACAAAGAGGCTCAGAGACAGTGCCCAGAACCTCAGTTCAATCCCCATAACTGACAAAAGAAAATGATGGTCAGTTGTAGCACCTAGCAATGGAAAAATCTCTTCCTGGTAAAAGAAGAAAAATACACCAGGACATAATAAGTTATACAGGTCTCTAGGCATTCACACAGAGTGAGACCAAAGGAAGATATTCTTAGGAGCAGATGACATAGGTGCAATACCTATGTGCATCTGATGATGTAAAAGAATATTTATGAAAATAAACTCCAGCAAGTAGAAATAAGAAGTTTATTTTTTTCTTTGTTGCTGTTTCTACTTTCATTTACTTTTGTCTTGTTTGTTCATTTATCTGTCTTTGGGATGGTAGAGCAGAGAAGGGGGACACAGAAATGGTGGGATAAAAGGTGAATGAGGGGCTGGGAAGGTGACTCAGTGGTAGAGCGCTTGCCTTGCATGCATGAGACCCTGGGTTTGATTCCTTAGCACCACATAAGTAAAAAGAAAAAAGCCGGAAGTGGCACTGTGGCTCAAGTGTTAGAGCGCTAGCCTTGAGCTGAAGAGCTGGGACAGAGCCCAGGCCCAGAGTTCAGGCCCCACAACCAGACCCCCCCCAAAAAAGGTGAACAAATGTAGCAATGATACTCACTAGACATTATGTTGAAAATGAACTATGCAACTTGTAGGTGAGGACTGGAAGGAAAAAGTATGAAAGAGTCAGGGAAGGGATGACATTGTTCCAAAAAAATAATGCACTCTTTATCTGACTTATGTAACTGTAACCTTTCTGTACATCACCTTTACAATAGCAATAAATATTTTTAAAAGAAAAATCTCTTCGGGACTGGGAAGGTGGCTCAGTGGTAGAGCGCTTGCCTTGCATGCATGAGGCACTAAGTTTGATTCCTCAGCACCACATAAGCAAAAAGAAAAAAGCCAGAAGTGGCGCTGTGGTTCAAAGGATAGAGCGCTAGCCTTGAGCTGAAGAGCTGAGGGACAGCGCCCAGGCCCAGAGTTCAGGCCCCATGACTGGACCCCCCCCAAAAAAAAAAAGAAAAAAAAGAAAAATCTCTTCCCCCAATTCACATTCTCTCAAATAAGACCAGTAGCATTGGCAGAATATTGAACAATACTGACTAAAATAACAATAAAATATGGAAATTTACTGATGCCCAAAGGATATAGGCATTAAAAACTCTCTTTGGGCTGAAATGTAGCTCAGTGGCAAAACATTTGCTTCGCAAGTGCAACGTCCTGGGTTTGATCCCCAGTACCAAAAAAGAAAAGACAAAAATAAATAAATAAATAAACCTGTCCTTATCATGACCTAAAAAAGTAACATCTCGAATCCTAGAAGCTCAGCATCCAATTTTATAGCTAAATGCCTATACATAATGTAAGAAAGGAGATTATTACGGCTTTATGCATTTATTTTAATTAATATTAGAATATATAAACATCAATTTCACTTATATTGTTGGTGGTGGCATTGTCTAGGAAACTAGCAGCAAGATGGTGAAGATTTTTGAAAACTCAACTCCATTATCTGAGGGAGCCAGTCTCCATAAAATGACACTGGCAGGCATCTGTTATCTGTTATTGTACCAATGGCAGTTCAACAAGGATCACAACAGTGTATGGTATTTATAACACTTTAACGTCACTTTTACACATCACATTCCCACAGAATTTAATTCTCATTTAAGTGTTAAACAAGGTATCTAAAAATATTCTGAATCTTGTCCTTTCAAATGTGTTTCTCTAAAGGACATGAGTTGCATCAACTAAACCAATGAAAATACTAATGATACTGTCTGCAGGTTAGTACTACGAAAAACATAGAAAGAATTTAAAGAAAGGGAAGTTCAAGCTAAAGGTGTTACAGTTCTTGAAGCAGAAAGATGTAAATACAAAAATGTGTTTGCTCTTTGGAACTAGTTTCAGAAAATCCCTTCTTTAAAGAAATGAATAACTTAAAGATATCCTTCTACAACGGACAGCAAAAAGGGCTCATGTGCTTGTCAAAACTTGTGCCTGGCCCCAAGTCTGTGTGTGTGTGTGTGTGTGTGTGTGTGTGTGTCCAAGATTTGGGGCTTGAACTTGGTGTCTCATTCCCACTTAATTTTCTTGCTCATAGCTGATTCTCTACCCCTTGAGTCATGCCTCCAGTCTGGCATTTTGCTGGTTAATTGGAGATATAGTCTTCTGGACATTTTTTCCCCCACTTCTGATTTTCAACTGAGATCCTCCAAGTCTCAACCACCTGAGAAGCTAAGATGACAGGCAGGAGTCAATAGTGCCTAGTCGCAAGTCCCTCTTAAGTCACTGAAGCTAAATATTTCTAAGCCTTCTCTGGTCACCCATAGAGTTTGGGCTGCTCTCACAAGCCCTGATCTCCTGATCAGGATCCACATGGATCTATATCAAGGAAATCTCTCCCCACTAAACTCCCTTAGATTTCTTCTTCCACACATACTACTAACCTGTGGCCTTCACTTATTAAGGCTACTTGAAACCCCACAGAACAGAAAATTTTATTACTAGAATAACATGAAGATGGGTAAGCCTAGGACAGCAGATAGCTCACGTGCTAAGTTTTATTCCTGCTAATGTCATCCCTATATCCTTATCTTTTTTTTTTTTTGGTTGGTTATAGGGCTTGGGTGCTGTCCCTGTGCTCTTCAGCTCAAGACAAGCACTCTACCATTTGAGCCACAGTGCCACTTCTGGTTTTCTGGTTGGAGATAATAGTCTCGTGGACTTTCCTTCCTGGGCTGGCTTTGAACTGTGATCCTCAAATCTCAGCCTCCTGAGTAGCTAGGATTACAGGCATGAGCCACCGGTGCCTAGCCCTATAGCCTTATCTTTGCACAGAACATTCAAACTTTTCCTCTAGTTTCCTATAATTTTTCCACAATAGCCAGCCCTTCATCCTCTATTCTCTCAATCAAGGTTTTTAAAACTGCCTTTAAGCAGTCTGCCATCCCTATCATGGCCCACCAACTGCCATCTCTTATACCCCAACTCAGTATTTAATATGCATTCTTTGCTGTGCTGAAGTTTTGATGGGAAATGTCCCATTCTATTGCTTGTCATTCCCTTAGAAAGAAACATCTAGTAAAGTTCTGATGGGAGAAAAGAGAAGAAAAAGGTATCATTCTGGTACCTAGAACAAGCAGTGGTGAAAAGGAAAAAGAAAACACTAACTTCTGAACAAAGGAAAACCACAGCTTTACTGCACGGCTCCACTGGAGAAAACAAGCAAATCACATTTGGTTTGACAGATTCAGTGCTGAACATTCATTTGTACAGGTGAAGTTTAGGCATCAAAATAGAGCTGATAATGCTTTTTTTCTCTAGCAGTTGCTCATACCACCAGTAGATCCATGTGCTGCTCAATTTAGGGTCCTGGTCATACAGGAAAGGCATGTACAACAGGCACAGAGTCCTGCCACAGTGGATACCATCATCAAAAAACGTGATGGGCACTTACATTTAAAAGCTTTCTTCATTGTCTCATTTGACTGTTCAATGTAGTCTTGGGTGTGCAAAATGTTGTACTCAATGTTATCCACCAATTCCTGTTGCTCTGAGATGAGTATCTCCAGTTGGAGAAAGATGGTATGTAACTCACTAATCTCATACTCCAGGTCCAGTAGCTGCTGGTGACGGACTTGGGCCACAGCCAGGACCTGCTTAGCTTTCAAGATATCTAGATCATGACCCACAATTGGAGGAGCCAGAGAGCTAGCCACCATATTCTCCAGGTCTTCCTCCCGAAGCTTCAGGCCTGCTAGTTCAGCCTGCCTCAACATCTTCTCCTTCAGCCTTACCCTATACTTTGCCTCACAGACAAAGTGATGGCTCATGATGGCATGGTAGCGACTGAGGAGGACAGAGAGTTGGTTCTGACGGATGCGGTGTTCAACCCGCCAATACTTACAGTCTGTGGTCAGTTCATGCTGGATGGCAGTTATTTTGGGATAGATGAACTGGGCTTGGCTGGCAAAAGAGGCCTTCATGATATTCAAATCATTCTTCTCCGTGAACACACTCTCCTCTGTAGTGCAGCATAATACATCTTGCTGCTTTTTATCTATTAACTCAGACAGCCCTTTTAGATCTGTCAGCTCCAGGGACAGCTCAGCCACTTCCTGAAAGAACTTCTGTAGAGAGTTAGTCTCACTGTCCTTGAAAGCTGCATTGTCAAAAACCAAATTATCGTCCAACTCTGCAAAGTCTCTTCCTTGGTTTACTAGGCTTTTCAGTTCCTCAAGCCTATCCTTCATCTTCAGCTCTAGCAGTCTGCCATAGTGGAAGGACAGGAAATACTGGCCTCAGCTCTGTTTAGTGATGTGTGGAGACATGAGTAGCTCAGTTTTACGTCAGTGGAGGCTATTAAAACTCTCCTTCCCAGGTAAGCAAATATTGGCAAAGTAAATAGGCTTCTGCTTTGTTGGCTCAGTATCAGGTAGTAAGGCACACAGGATTGGCTAAATTGTATGCCAGGAATGGGCCAGGCACTAACCTGATTTGTTAAGAGTTGGGGCAAGAGTACATTTGAGCATTGGAGAGCACAGCCAAATGGTAACAAAGAGAAAATCTGGAGTCTGAACACTCCCAGAGGCATTGTACCTGATTGGGTTCATGGAAGGTAAACAAAGGGGTAGAAGACACAGGAAAGATCATGTGATTGGAAAATTTTCTGTGACAAGTGTGGTTTTCTTATTTAAGATGGTTACCAGTTGGGTGCCAGTTGCTCATGCCTGTAATCCTTGCTGATCAGGAGGCTGAGATCTGAGGACTGCAGTTAAAAGCCAACTTGGGCAGGAAAAGTCTGTAATACAAACTTTTTTTTTTGGTTGGTCATGGGGCTTGAACTCTGGGCTTGGGCGCTGTCCCTCAGCTCTTCAGCTCAAGGTGAGTGCTCTACTGTTTGAACCACAGCACCACTTCCAGTTTTCTAGTAGTTTATTGGAGATAAGAGTCTCACGGACTTTCCTGCCAGCGCTGGCTTTGAACCATGATCCTCAGATCTCAGCCTCCTGAGTAGCTAGGATTACAGGCGTGAGCCACCAGCGCCTGGCTTGTAATACAAACTTTTATCTCCAGTTAACTACAGAAAAAAAAAAGCTGGAAATGGAGCTGTGGCCCAAGTGGTAGTATACTACCTTAAGCAAAAAAGCTCAGAAGCAGTGCCCAGGCCCTGAATTCAAGCCCCAGGACCAGCACTCACATTCATGCCAAAAAATGATAGCTAAATTGGCTCTGTAGAAGCATTGGCCTATAGTCTTACTAGCTTTGAGCCTCTGTGTATGTTGCAGAAAAAACTCCTTTAATTAGAATTTCAGATGTCTCAAAAATTAGCACTGTTTCCTTTTTTCATTTTAAAGAGTTCTCATACTTTTTTTTTAAGGTTTCATGAATTTATGGTCCAAGGTCACAATTTTTGTAAATCTGTTCTTTGGTCAGCAAAATGGAAGAAATAATTATACTTCCTAAATAAAGTTGTAATAAAATCAAAGAACTAATATATGCAAACTTCTTTAAATAGTATCTGGCAAATAATGAGGTTTGTTGTCAACTTGATAACTATATTATTAATGTAAAACATCTGCATAGGCACCAAGGTCAACCTTTCAGTGAATGCTAAAGTTACTCAGTATAAAGGGAAAAAAAATGTGTTCTTAGCACTGTCATCTGTCCTTCCAAAACTCTTTTCCCTTCCATGAGCCTTTTTTACTCCACTGATATCCAAGATTAGTTTGCTAGCTTTAAATATGTAGAGAATTGGAGCATGACACTATTTTCCTATATGTTTCCAGCCTTTACTGAAATCCAACAGAACTACAAATTCTGACAACTCAATCAGTAGTGATCATGAACCTCATCATTTCACAAATGAGAAAAAATGAGGCCCAGAGAGGTGAAATGACATGTTCAAAGCTACAGAACTAGTTGATTACCAAACTAGGACAAAAAAGTTCATGACCAGGGCTGGGAATGTGGCTTGGTGGTAGAGTGCTTGCCTAGCATGCATGAAGTCCTGGGTTTGATTCTTCAGTACTACATAAACAGAAAAAGGCAGAAGTGGTTCTGTGGCTCAATTGGTAGAATACCAGCCTTGAGCAAAAGAAGCTCTGAGACAGTGCCTTAGGCCCTGAGTTCAAGCCCCAGGACTGGCAAAAAAAAATCATGAACGAAAACTTCTACCATCTGAACACATATTCATATTCCTTTCCTTTATGAATGTGAATTAATACATGCTTATATTGTCTATATTATTCCCCCAAATAATCTATAATTTCATCATGGTATTATAAGTACACTATATCATATCCCCATGTAATATTTCTTTTTTTCAGGCAGAAAAAGTTTTATTTCTGAATTGCTGCCCTGCTGGGCATGGTGGGAACACAAATGGCCAAAGGGCCCCATATAACATTTCTCATACCAAGAGTTTTAAATGAAATACAAAGCAAGTGGAAGCAAGGAGGAGGAACATTTAGTAAAATCAAATTACAAAGGAGATATTCTCTGTGATTCATTTTAGGGGGAGAAAGCATGAGACTTGGATAGTTCTGATGCAGGTGAAAAGCCAACGACTTTACATAGAGGAGAAGTTCCCACTATTGAGCCCTACCATGTACCAGAGTCTGTTATTAACTATGCATACTGTTATTTAACCCTCAAAAGAAATTTGTGACATGAGAATGACTACCATGTCCATTATTTTATAGATGAGAAAACTGAGGCCCAGAGAATAGGGTTACAAAATAAAATACAGGATTCTAACGAAATTAGAATTGCAAATAGATAACAAATAATTTTATTTCAATTTATTTCATTTCATTTCAATTTTTATCTTATTTTATTTTGCTAGTATTTGGGCTAGAACTCAGGGCCATGGCACTACTCCTTAGTTTTTTACATTCAAAACTAGCATTCTACCTTTTGTACCACAGTTCCACTTCCAGCTTTTTGCAAGCTAACTGGAAAACAGAATTTCACAGACTTTCCTGCCTGGGCTGGCTTCAAAATATGATCCTCAGATTTCAGCCTATTGAGTAGCTAAGATTACAGGTGTAAGACACTAATGCCCAGCTAATTTTAGGTTTTGAACTGTATACTGCTATCCATAGTGATATTCTGAAATTTTCTGCCAGACTCACACACAAAAGGCAGGAAACACCTTTCTTTAGTATAAGTGATATGCTCCAGTAGTCAGTTGGTGTAACTAGCATATTTGCATGCTATAGTTATCATTGAGAGAGAGTTAACATATGAGTACTATAGGAAAAAGGCAGATGGGGTAAAAATGGTGAGCATTTATAACCAAATTAAGCGTTTAAATGATGTGATAAAAGTTAACACAGGGCTGGAGGTGTGGCTAGAAGGTAGAGCACATGACTAGCAGTCCCATAAAAAATTCATGCAGCCATTATGGAAAACAACATGAAAATTCCTCAAAAAAAGGAAAAACTAAAGGACCTGGGAATGTGGCTTAGTGGTAGAGTGCTTGCCTCACATGCACTGCGTTTGATATAGTTCTGGATTCAATTCCTCAGAACCACATACACAGAAAAAACCAGAAGTAGTGCTGCAGCTCAAGTGGTAGAGCACTAGTGTTGAGCAAAAGAAGCTCAGGGACAGAGCCCAGGCTCTGAGTTCAAGCACCAGGACTGGCAAAAAAGAAAAACTAAAAATAGAACTTCTAGATGATCCAGCAATCACACTAGTATGTATTCAACAGAAATGAATTGAGTATATTGAAGAAATACCTTCATGCCGGTGTTCATTGCACCACTATTCAGAATAACCAAAATGTGGCTACTAACTGATGAATAAATAAAGAAAATGTGGTACTCACACAAAGTGGAGTACTATTCAGCCAAAGAGTGAAGTGCTGTCATTTGTAACAACATGAATATAACTAAATATAACTATGTCATGTGAAATTAATCAGCACAGATTAATTAATAAGTACTGTATGATCTCATTTATATATGTAATTTTTTGTATTTAAAACTTTTTTCCAAGTTTATTTATTTATTGTTAAGGAGGTTACAGTTACATAAGTAAGGTAGTGATTACGTTTCTTGTCTAACTTGTTATCCCTTCACTCATTTTTCTCCCTCTTTCCCTACTCCCTCAATTTCCCTCCCCCAAGTTGTACAGGTCATTTACAACGTGTCTTGTGAGCACTGGTGTTGCACTGGTTCCCCCCTTGTCCTTTGTCTCACCATTTTGTTGTTCCCCTTCCCTTCCCTAGTTCAGATAAATGTGTATCCAATACCCAAGGCACCAAAATCCAGTGTAGTAACAACAGGGGATATACTATATGCATACAAAGGAAACAAGAAAAATCACATAGCACATTAAAAACAACAACAACAAAGAAAATCCTCTTGTATCCATGTCTTGGACTTCATTTTGTTTAGCACCATCTTAATGATCATATATACATAGCTATTGAGCTATTCTGCTCATCTGCTAAAAGTATACTAAATATGTACTAATTATTACAAATAAGGGAAACCATGGGAGCTGTGTTTCTTTGTGTCTGGCTTACTACATGTAATGTGATTTTTCCAAGTCTTTCCATTTCCTTACAAATGAGGTGGTGTCATTATATATATATATATATATATATATATATATATATATATATATATATATATATACACACACACACACACACACACACATATATATATATACCACATTTTCTTGATTCATTCATCTACTGAGGGTCATCTGGGTTGATTCCATATCTTAGCTATGGTAAATAATTCTGCAATAAACATAGTTGTGCTGGTAGCTTTAGTGTGGCTTTGTTTGTGGTCATTTGTGTAAATGCCCAGACGTAGGTGTATGTAATATTGAAACGAAACAAATTCAGTCAGGGGTTGATCGTAGGAATAGATCTGTGGAGATACTGGTCCCAAAATACAAATGTTCAGTAGGAGGCAAAGTTCAATGGATTTACCATACAATTTTGTGATTAGAGTCACAGTCATTAACATTGAAAAGTATTTTTGGAAATTGACAATAGAGTTTGTGTTCTTACTGTAACAAGTGGTAAGTATGTGAAACAGTGCCTATGTTAATTAGCTTGTTTTAGCCATTTCACAGCAGTATATATGTATTTCAAAACATATCATACTAAATAAATATGTTTTGTCAATTTTAAAAGAAGAAGATGGGGAATCTTTGGGTAATAGATAATTTTGTTTATCTTGACCAGAGTGGTAGCTTCTTAGATACATACATATCGTAAGATGTATTA